TTATTAAGTTGTTGAGTTTGTCGTTGTTATTGTTATACCTTGTTATTGATTGTTATTGTTATCAACTGCTTGCGCAAAATGCCCAGTAGTACAGATACTGCCGATGAAGTTGTAAACTCCTGTGGTCCACCTAGGAAACGCTCTAAAAAAAGACACCTGAGTGCAGGAATGAAAGAGGTCATTTTGAATATATATAAGATCGAGCGCGAGGAGAACGAGGCATCAACCATCAAAGAAATTGTTGTGAAGGTTTCTCACAAAGTTGGGGTGTGTCGCGCATCAGTGTTTAATGTGTTAAGACGCTACAAAAAAAATCACACCTTTTCTGAGCCAATGACCAGTAAACATCGCAAAAGTATTGTTAAATCATTGCATGCTGATAAGCACGCGATTAGGAGGAAAGTGCATGAATTCTTCTTTAGGAATGAAATACCTACTATAGATAAAGTACTGCAGGACGTAAATGGAGATACAACGTTGCCAAATTTCAAACGATCAACTTTCCATGCGTTACTGAAGCATTTAAATTTCAAATGGAAAAAACGGGGTCGTAATAGTTTACTACTGGATAGAGAAGAAATTGTGCGATGGAGGAGGGATTATTTAACAAAAATTGGGAAATATAGAAATCAAAACAGGAAGATTTATTACCTTGATGAATCGTGGGTAAACGCAGGACACACTACAAGTAAAGTATGGGTTGATGATTCTGTAACTTCATCCAGGAGGGCCTTTCTAGATGGACTGTCTACCGGATTAAAAAATCCAGCAGGTAAATACGAGTAATAGACAACAATCGGATGTTTTTCAAACCTTGGGAACAATGTTCTAAACATTAATTCCAGGGGGCAGATAAAACATATTACAAGTAACAAAACTTTTATAACTTTCGATAAAATGCGTGGATGTTTTATTGTCATTTTCATTTGTTAGAACTTTTTTAAGCCATGTTTTTATGTGTTTTCGATATTTCCATAATTTTTTAATATGATCTTAAAATATGTCGAATATTATAAACTTAAAAAAAGTTACTAAGTTTTATATTGTGTACCGTTCCTAATATTTCTAATCATTTTAATTCATACTTTAAGCTTTATAAAGTTATAATTTGTTAATATTAATATGTGCGCGTATTTCAGGTTCCTGATCATTCATTTTTTAAAGGTTTATAACTTTAAATTAAATTGTGAAGCGCTGAGTAATCATACGACGTTCAATATTCTTTCTTTCAATATGACTAAATAATCCCAATTATAGCAATCTGATACTCATGTCTCAATGTTTTTTCGCTGAATGTGATGAAAACATTTGAAAAAGGTTCGCTTATTGAAATAAATCTACACCAGTTAGTACTTCGATTTCCAGGTAAAGGGAAAAGGCTCATTATCTGCCATATTGGCAGTGAGGATGGATTTGTTGTTGACGGTCTGTGGTGCTTTGAGTCTAAGAAAACTGCAGATTACCACGAGGAAATGAATGGCGAATCGTTTGAACAGTGGTTTTCAAAAATTTTACCGAACTTAGAGGAAAACGCAGTAATTGTGTTGGATAATGCGCCTTATCATTCTCGAAGAATGGAGAAGGTCCCAACAACGGCTTCAAGGAAAGTTGATGTTCAAAATTGGCTCCGCTCGAAAAATATCAACTTTGAAGAAGCAATGCTGAAAGTACAATTATTAAGAATTGTCAAGGATCACAAGGCGGAATATCAAAAATACGCCATTGACGAAATGGCAGCAAGTCAAAATAAAACTGTGCTCCGTTTACCTCCATACCATTGCGAGCTCAATCCCATTGAGCTCATATGGGCAGAGGTTAAAAATTATATAGCTAAGCACAATACAACTTTTAAATTTTGTGACCTCAAAGGACTTTTTAAAGAAGCACTAGAATTAATAACAGCGCAAAAATGGGAAAACTGTATTAAGCACGTGAAAGACAAAGTTGAAAAGAGAATGTGGGAACTGGACAATATTTTAGAGGAACAAGTCGAGCCATTCATTATTGACGTTGGTGCTTCAGGCAGTAGCGATGATGAAATCTCATCAAGCTCATCTTTCCAATAAAAGATGTCGTTCATCAAATTCGGTAAGTTATAAGTAATTATAAAGCTACTGTATTTTTTAATTAATTATTGACATTTTTGAACCCATTTTGGCAAAACCTATTCAAGAATCTACTTTCTGACAATGTTCAACCATGCACATTTTTTTACGTTTTGAACGTTTTAATTTGGTTACATATTTACCTAGAAATCAAAAAATATACTAATCAATATTCTAAAAGCAATTTTAAGAGATATACGATTATTTTTAATTTAGGCTAATTTAAACGCCATTTTGAGATTGTATTCGACTCTATTTCACCAAACATCAGGCGGCATCCGAAGCTGGAAATCGAAGCGAAAATTTTGAAACCCTTATGTATATTTACATCATTATATATTTCTTACCCCACCCCCACATGATCCTATATCCATCACCAATCGTATACACATCGAATTGTGCTAATTTACTACAAAGTTACGCAAAGCAGCATCTACTATCTAAAATATGTACTGCGTGACTCTTAATACGTCCCTGCCGAATGTTACAGCGTTCGATGATCACGTGGTCTTGTTTATGTCCGGTCTATCTCTTATCTGAATATACTGTACTTGGTTTCGTTCATGAATGTTCACTGTTAATTGCGGCCATCTATTATCATCACCCTGAATATAACAATTGCAGGTGTGGTCAGAAAGAAATCACACATGATGGTGTTTTTAAATTTTATGCCCGACGTTTCGTTTTTGTGAAACCATCATCAACTTTATTTTTTTATATGGTCCGAAAAAAGTACACCCTGTATCTGATGGGAACTTTTTCTACGAACCAACGATGTATCACATGTTACATTTGTTTTCTTAGGGCCGTATCGTCAGTCGTTCCTTCAATTATTGTAGGACGCCTTTATGGCCTCCTTGATTTTCAGTTTTCTCGTGCTCCGTGTCAGCCCACCATTTTGAGGTTATGTTGCAAATATCTAGCATAAAATTGTTCATGCTTTTGATTTATATCAACTGTTATATCAGCCTGAAATTTCCTACAATTTGAAAAGAAAGCACAGTCTCACAATATGAGAGCCCTGACACGGGTCAGTAGAAAAATATAGCAATTCCCCAGCCTTTCTAAAGGGGAAAAAATAGTTTGTTAATGAACAAGAAAAGCCGACTAGTCGACATGCTTCGCGAGTGTATGCAGATCGTTTTCCGAGACATTATCATTCAAGGCCCCGTAGATTTGTTTACCTTGCGCAGATACTCACGGATACGGGTAGTTTGGAGGGATGTCGAGGTGGGCACAGTGGGAGACCTAGACAACCTCAAGTGGTGCAAACTGAGGAACAAGTACTGAATCTCGTAGACGAGAATCCTTCAACAAGCACTAGGGACATGGCTAGACAAGTGCAAGTGTCGAAGACTAAAGTGTTGCAAACGCTGCATGATGAGGGATTGTATCCGTTTCACGCAACGTGTACAAGCCGTCCAAACAGGATTTGACAATGATCCGGACTTTTTAAATGCATATTAGTTACAGAATAATAACTTCCGCAATACTCATGTGTGGTCAGTAGAAAATCCTCACGCTGTTCGTCGGTCACACTTTCAACAAACATTTTCTGTGGATGTTTGGGCTGGCATGGTGAACGGCATGCTCATTGTACCATTTATTCTCCCGAGCGGTTGGACGGGATACAATACCAGACCTTTTTCAGAACATTTTACCAACCCTGCTAGAAGATGTGCCTTTGAGGGTAAGACAATTAATGTGGTTTGTCCATTTCCGGTGGAGTCAAAGAAAACTCGGAATCAGACATTTTTTACTTTATAGTATTAAAAATTGCTTCTAAACAACCACTAAGTTCACAATTTTTAAATCAAATCACAAAATTAAATTGGCAGCTATATATTTGATTACTTTAAACGTTTCCTTAGCGATGCAGATCTAATTGTCGCTATAAGTACAACATAGCAAAATTCAAATTTCACTACGATAATTTTCTGATTCAAATATTGTAATGATATAATTTTTCAATATTAAATCGTCACAGAAAAAAATTGTGTATTATACACGGGAAAAATACTAGATTTTTTCTCTTCTATAATAAATAACTATTATTGTTATTTCGACAACTATGAGGTCTACGCCAAAATATGTTTAATAAAAAGTGTTCAAAAGTTCTGGCAAAATACAAATATCGACTAAAATATATGCAGATTTGGCAACATCGCGGATATCATCAAGGGATCCGCCGTGGTTTCAAACCTAAACCTATCAATTTCTAAAAAATATGTTCAGTCATTCATCAGATATTTGATGCGTTCCAAACTTTTGTTACAGTCTGTATATATATTAGTGTCATTGCAAATCCAACTTGGCGGACTCGGATTAAATATTGTTAACAATCTTTCCAATAAGGGTTACCAAAAGAAAGGACTTCATTAGCCAAATTAGGAAGATGCAGTACGCTGTGAAAAAAATGTAAAAATCAAAATGGCCGCCGCTACAAAATGGCGCATTAGATATAATAAATTCGCATCAATATCAATTTGAACTTAAAATCTAATAATTTTAGGTTCAACGGATTTATTGTGAATAAACATAATACTGCACTTTCCTCGTCAGCCCTAGGGTTTTTTAGTTTTGATACCAGAAGGTTGTCGTGCATACACATTTTAATTATGCTGAAAATGTTCTGCAACACCCTGTAAGCGATAATTATAAAACTGGTTGCGTACACCTTAATATCGCATGTGTGCATGTACCCGGTGTTACCAGATCGCCTGTTTTAACAGGAGATCTAGGTTTTTACCTCGATGCTGATGTTCTCTGTTTTCACTATCAAATCTCCTGTTATTACGACAATACCTTTTTTATACTTTTCACCTGCTCTCACTCCTAGAATAATTTAAAAATAGCTAGACATCGATCTCGCCATCTATTTAACCGATGTTAAACTAGATCTCCTGTTTTTTGGTCCCGTCCGACTGTTGAGGGAAATATCCATCTGGCAACGCTGCACTACCATGTAGACACGCGTAGACCCTAGCACACTAGATTCAACAAACGTGCACCGAACAAAAAATTAGTAACCTTATCCTATTTACAACGTATTTATTTCAGGGCTAAAATCAAAGAGGTAAGCAAATTCACTTCTGAACTCAAAATAGGTATTACAGCTTTCCAAGGCTTTTCATAACATATTAGCTAAATAATTCTGTTGACAAACTATTGGTTGCATGGCTTGTCTCTGGATTCTGAGGTGTAAACAATTGATAAAACTGTTGGTTTAGGCAAGTCCTTTGGCTTCGTAGGAATATTTTATAGATAAAAAGCATGTTGGTGATCGAATGATTGTTGGCTAATTACATTTTTATCTTTTTCAGGCAGTTAAAGTGCAATTTACAATATAACCACAACAATTATGAGTCAACACTAATTAGTTTTGCAATCTTGTTTGGCATCTTCTCATTGGTATACAAAGTTGGCCTTGGCTTTGTACAGTTGAAGGATTCAATCATACCTGGTTTAGCATCCTAATAAACAAACGAGTTCAAGTCCATATCGCGTGTGTGACAGCTTAGATACAAAGGTAAGTGCTATTTCTTATATATATATTTTAGCTTTAAAACTCTGTATTTCCAAACTGTATTTCATTTTTTGTTTCTTGATCTTTAAATATGTAGAGTATAAATAGGTATTACAAAAATGAAATACACATATCAAATTTTGTTCTGTTCAATTTTTGCTATAAGTGCACAAAACTTTGTACACTTATTATGTAATTATATAATTATATATGTAATTTGGGGAATTGGAATTTTCAATTAGAAACGGAAATTTCTGAAAAGTTGTGTAGATAGATTCAGGGTTGTTTAAAAATATGTTCCAGTATAAATATATAAATTTGTCAAAAAAGTAGCGATACAAATAGAAAGAATCACAATTAGTGGAAAAAAGCGCATGCAAACAAATTCACTAAAAAAAGCAAAGACAAAAATCAAGGGAACAAGGTGTATAAAGATTAAGGAGTATAAGAATAAAAGATAAAAGGTAGATGAAAGATAGGCAGACAAAAGTGTTCGAATGCTAAAAAAATATATGCAGGGTGGCAGATACAGCTTAGGTTAAGTTAGGCAAATGCTGCATTCTTTGTTGCATATTTACATACCATTGAGAAACATGACTTCATGGCTTACTGATGTATTTGGGCAAAACTTAAAATTTGGCCAAATCATTTTTATCTTCTGACTTTATTTTAAAAAATATCAAAAACCTGATAGAACCTTCCCATTTGGCACTTTATAGGCTCGACATGATGGTGTTTCTAAATTGTGTGTCCAACGTTTTGTTTTTGAGAAACGTTAAAAAAAGGTACACCTTGTATCTGATAGCAAATTTTTTGTTTTTTAATTAAGTTGGCATTGCAAACAAATGCTTGATGTAATGATGTAAGATTATTTGATTACTGATAGATGCATATTACATTTTACATAATGGTATGATGGGGGAGAATTTTATAAAAATGGTACTTAATCTAGTGATATTCAAAATGACAAGTGCATTTTTAACATTTGTATTTTATTCACAATAGGTGTTGAGATAGGTTGCCATTAATTTGCAAACATAAATATGATCTAACAGAATTCGAAACATCACATAACATGCTTCCATTACACATTCTTGTAACTGCTGCACAGTTTCAAAAGTATACTGATAACTTGGTTTTTAATAAAACCCAAAACAAAAAGGCCAGAGGAGTTGAATCGCTTGGAAAGATACTCTTGAACTTGCCTAGACTTATGTGCAGGAGCATCATCTTGTTAAAACAAACAGCTATTAACCTGTGCCAGAGGTAAATTATCCAAGCAGTCTTCTAGATCATGTTGCAACAATTGTGGGTTCCATTCTGCAGTTAACGAGCTGTGGTAAATATATGGGCCTAATATTTTGTTCCCTAGAATTCCACCCCACATATTAAACCCAAAACGTTGTTGATGTCTGGATACTTTTTTAGCTAGCAGATTTTTTTGAGCCTAGTAATGATACATTACCATTATTAGTGATCATATTATCGTCGGACCATATTATGTTTGAATTGAAATTAAAATCTTCTTCACACGTTCGTATGTACGGCTCAGAAAAATGCTGGCGTAGTTCGCTATCCCCCCGGTCTAAGTCCGCAACTTATAGTGTGACACCTATTTTTGCGCAAAATAAATTGGGCTGTGGATTTGGCTCCTCCTACATTGTGGCATCTTTAACGATATTAAATCAATATTATAGTTATTTACGTCAAGCAATGTCTACTTAAAAAAAATCAAAAACGCATTTTTCTTATAATCAACATAACATTCTATTGACGAATTTTTAAATTGTGGATGTTAATATCGTCAATTATTTTAATGTGTTATAACATACACATCCAAATTTAAATTCATTATTGCATATAAATGAATGTATCTTCTGATAACACATTTTTTTCCATGTCCATTCTTTTTTGTGGCTTGGCATTTGAGTTGTATCTCCCACAGGTATTGAGATCCCTATGCATAGGATCCTCATATCTTATTTGATAATCGCCATCAATGCTCTATCGATTTAGGGTACGTAATGATTTGTTTCTACATTTCAAAACCTCTTTCCAGATGGACGACTCTTCAGATGAGATGAACAGAAGACAATCAAATGGAAAAGATTACAGACAGACTGCGCTGTCGAAATTTTTCACAGAAGAAAAATTCACCGATTGCACATTTGTTTTTGAGAATGGCGAAGTAAAGGCGCACAAAATAATACTGGCATGCAACAGCCCTGTTTTTGAAAGTATGCTCTATGGAGTAATGGGACAAAGCACCATAAAAATAAAAGACTTGAACATGGTGTACTTTAAAGAAGTTATAAAATTCATATATACAGATGAAGTCGACATATCATCTCAAGAACATGCTTGGGAATTGTACAGCATTGCTAGCATCTACCTCATTGACGATTTGTTAGAATTCTGCTTGGATTATATATACGAAAATTTGGCTATAAGTAACTTACTTTTGTCATATGAATATACGGATATGTACAACATTACATGGTTGAAAGACCACTGTATGGAGGATATAGTTGAATATGCACTAGGAGTCTTTGAGAATATGAACTACCATATGAAACCAAGTACAATGGAACGTGTCTGCGACAGGTTGGGATATGTTGATATTAAATTCAACCCAATACCACTGATATTTAAATGGGCCGTGGACGAACTCAAGTCTTCCGAAGATCCTGATGTTAAAGTGACTGCAGAATCAGTTTTGTCGCTCCTAGAAACCCACGGTATCCTGAAATGCATCTGTCATACATGGTGGATCAAGCCTTGTTACAAATGTATGAATCTCCTGTGCACTTGTTCGCGCGATACAGTCTACGAAGATTTTTTCCTGTCATTAGGAGGAAAAATCCGTCTAACGCAAGAAGATTCGATAATAAACGAAGCCAAATGCATATCGTATCTTCACAGTGTGGTACAGCCACATGGCGAGGCATCCTGCCAGATGCGAAGAGTGTACAAAGTGTCCCAAAGAATAGATTTAGTAGAAAACGAGGCGTACGTGAGCAGTGTTAGCGCAACAGGCGGTCCGGTGATGATATTCGGCATACAGATCGACTGCGGGACGCAGCCCACGAATCCACACACGGACCCGCGAATCAAAGGAATTGTGACGGTGAGGTTATGTCTCGAAGGCACCACGCAGGACGTCGGTCCACCTACATCCAAGGAGCTTCATTTTTTTCACAATAGCAGCGTGTATGTAGCGTTTAACTGCCCCTTTTTACTCGAAGAAAATAAGGTGTACGATTTTAGAATCTCATTTAGTACGCGGGCGTCGGGAGGAGGTCTTTCAGTGATTTGCCATTTTAGGAGCAATCAATTGCGTCATGTTCGAAGCCTGCGGGCTCTCACGTTCTACGATCCGTGTGGAAGTCCTATAAAGGGTGTTTCCTTGTATCCTGTTTAGTTAAGTTTGTTTTGTGATATAGTATATTTTTTTAGAAGTAAGATTTTAGTAAAATATATTTTTATATGCATATTGTAGTTTCAATACAAACACTAGTAGGAAAAGAAGTTTTTCAATAAAAAAAAAACTTCTTTACATGTCCATAATTGTTAAAATATTATCTTTGGCTCTGTCAAAGAATGATAAGAACCATTTTTTAAAACGTTGACAACGTGTATATTGGAAACCAGGTGAACTGTTCTACTTGATTTGGTTCATGAATGTTCACTTTAATTACGGCCACAATTTAAAAAGAAAGCATAGTCTCACAAATGAGAGCGCTGGCACGGGACAGTAGAAAAAATATTGGAATTCCCCAGCTTTTCTGAAGGGGAAAAATATTAGATATGAGAATCAAGGAGACCATAATGGCGCCCTACAATTGTAGGAACTACTGACGATACGGCCCTAGTTATAAAGAGACATGTATTTTTTTCTTATTTTTTATTTTATCCACGTAGGCGTTGCTTGATGTCAGATGACAGCTTAGCCCCGTATCATCAGCCGTCCCTACAATTGTAGAGCGCGTTTATGGCCTTGATTGTCATCCTCCTTTCTCTCGTTCAAAAATTTCTAGATTACACTTGTCCCGTGTCAGCGTCAGCGCTCTCCTATTGTGAAGATATGTTTTCTTTTTAAATTGTAGGAAATTTCAGGCTGATAAAACATGATATAACTCAAAAGCAAGCACAATTTGATGCAAATAGATGTTTGTGACATAACCTCAAAATAGAGTTCTGACACGGAGAAGCAGAAAACTATGACAATCAAGGAGGCCATAAAGGCGCCCTACAATTGTAGGAACTACTGACGATACGGCACTAGTTATAAAGAGACATGTTTTTTCTTATTTTTTATTTTATTCACGTAGGCGTTGCTTGATGTCAGATCACAGCTTAGGCCCGAATCGTCAGTCGTCCCTACAATTGTAGGGCGCGTTTATGGCCTGCTTAATTGTCATACTCTTTTCTCTCCTTCAAAAATTTCTAGATTACACTTGTCCCGTGTCAGCGTCAGCACTCTCCTATTGTGAAGATATGTTTTCCTTTTAAATTGTAGGAAATTTCAGGCTGATAACACATGATATAACTCAAAAGCAAGCACAATTTGATGCAAATAGATGTTTGTGACATATCCTCAAAATAGAGCACTGACATGGAAAAATATAAAACTATGACAAGGAGGCCATAAAGGCGCCCTACAATTGTAAGGACGACTGACGATACGGGCCTGAGATAACAATCAGCTGTGACCTGTGAAACTCTCCTGTCGGTGTCATTAACGGCCGTCATTTCGGCTCGGCGGGGAAAGTCGAATGTAAATTCCCCCAGTACAACGATGAAAGAGGTTTTAGTGCTCAGCAATAGCCGATGTTGCCACGTATCATGCCAGCCACCACAGATATTCATTGCAATCGTAAAATATCGATATGATCTAGTGCAGTTTGTGTGAATCAATAATAAAAAGGAGTATGTTTGTTCAAAAAGAAGCGACGGATTTATTTATAAAAAAGCTTTAAAATAACATGAAGCACGTCAGCATGTCGAACTTTTCATCATTGCTAAAATGACCGCCTGGCATCTTTTATCGATGATAATAAAGCAATACTAACAATACACAATAATGACGATACTCAGTGTCAGGTATTTACGTACGTCAAGCCAAGCATTTGTTTGCAACGCCTATTTAAAGAAAATAAAAAAAATCAGAAAAACGCATTTTTCCTTGTAACAATCGCAGAATCAGATGTGGCCAGAAAGGAAAGTAAAAATATTTAAAATAAGTTTTTTTATTAAAAATAAAAATATAATTTATAAAGTACATAAAATATCTATCAACTAAAAGGTAAAGCTTTATTCACATGCATTAAGTGAAAAAATACGAGAAGGATGAATGAATCAGAGGGTCTAAGGAAAAATTCCAATTAGGGATTTTCTTGACATTTCTGAGATGGCAGCATTTGTTTATACTTTTAGTACGCAAGGTTTTAACGACACAATCATTGCTGTTTTACAAAGGAATATAATTTTTGTACAACATTCAACGTCTAGACAAGTTGAGAAAGTCAGGAATTTAAATTTTTAACTATAATATTTTATAGTACTTGAGCTTTTCCTAGCAAAATTTGATACGAAAAAATGTTTTTAATATATGGCGCTTCCGATATCACCATTTCTACTCTAAAAAACAGACCATACTCTCACATATTACCATAGGATGTTTACAAACCAACTATAGCAAAACCAACGTGTATGGTCAACCTTAACTTACGTAAGAATCGTCGCACATCACAAGCAACAATACAGTTAAGTATGCTGCCATTTCAGTCTAAGTTTGATGTGATTTTTTTCTGTTGGGTGTAAAAGAACGGGTTGGCGCTTTATACAAAAGACATTGTAAGTGGCTTATAGACGAATTCCTGGGTTTCTAGATGCGACGAAGTTGAGGAGTTCATCGCTGTCTTCGCAAACGAAGGGCTTGACGTGGTGACAAGCGACGTCGTGCCATTTGACTCCGTCATTGTAGAAGTTATTGAGGATTGATAAGCAGGATTCGTCGTTACCCTGAAAGTAAAACATATACCTTAAAGTATTTTAATAAACAATAGGTTGGAAGAGCGCGCAATGAGAACTCTGCCTTCTGGTTAACTCAGTACTGTAGTCTGGCTCGTGGGCACTGTATTTTTAATAATGTCAGGAATAAAGACACTTTAATAAACGATTAAACACGATAAACCTTATTGACCACCATAAGCGAATAAACACGACCGGAACTTCGATCTCCTCTAACCTGTCGACTGTCAAAGATCAAACGTGATCATGTCATCCGGCAAACACAAGCGCGCAAATTTCAAATTTGAAATGTTTATTACTACACTACAGACAATTAGTCAAGCTTAGGCATGCGCAGTTGAAAGTCAAGCGTCGGCTCAACTTTTGATGTTGAAAGGAACATTATGGATGTCTTGTTTTCTTGTTTGAATTACATCATTGTTTTGTGACTTAATTTCTTTTAATTTAAATTGGAGACAATAGCGTTATTTGTGTTTTGTGTTTTTCTATGTAACAAAGTTTAGCGTTTCGTAGGTTATAAAGCATAGAACTAGGAAAGTTGTTCCAACAAGTTTGGCACTATATCATATTTCACGAGTATCCATCACGCTTTGACGTCCACTGAGGTGAACAGCTGATCAGCAAGTGTCATTTTTCTGTTAGTCTGCGACGTTGGCAATAATGACTCGTGTGTAAATCTAGTAAAACTTGTCTGTAGCGTTTTGTTTTTTGTATGCAAATGCACTTTTCCGAATAAAAGAGTTGTTAGCAAGTACAGAATGAATCTGTAGCGTACAAAAAACCAAAACAAAATACGGCTCTGACTACCTGACGTTGACGGATACTTCAGAATTATGTGTCCTGTGCCGATATGGGGATTTTGAGATATTACAGCTGTCATTCTACCGTGGTGGATACTCGTGAAATAAGGTGGATTCTTTAATTCACCGGTTGATTCCACCACTGATGGATGCCCTGCTTATGGTTGACACTGTTGACAGCTTTGTATGGTGATGGCAGCAACCGGTTGAATTAAAAGGACAGATGTCTGGTCCACCGGTGGCACCGGTTGCTCAACCGGTGAATTAAAAAATACACCAATAGGTACTTCAGTAGGGATGGCAATTTGTTAGAAAACATCGACGTTTGGCCATCGACAAGCATCGCCATCGTAATATCGATACATCGGAACAAATACATCGGTGTATCCAAACAACTCTACTTTTTAACGTTTTCTGCTTTCAATTCAGCAACGAATTAATTCATCGATTGCTATCGGTTTTAGCGGAATGGTCATTTTATCCGTTGGTGGAATTCCCACCGCATTTTTTTTTCGATTTCAGAACCGTTAAGTAAGAATAAAAAACGCGACAGCAACTTCACGATATGATAAAAGAAGGATACCGACTGCAGTAAAAAAGTATGATTATAGGAAATTGCAAGATACGAGATTGTCAAAATTAAGAACACATTGATGATCATTAAATACTTTACACTGTGCACAAGTTTTTAAAGTACTTCCACACATCACTTTTTCGTGGCATTTCGATTAATTAACAATAACATTAACAAAAAATAAAATACAGCAGACGCTCGATAACGTAAACACGGGATAATGAAAACTTGCGGTAATGTAAACACAAACTTCGGTCTATAGGATCAAACGGAACGCGCGATAACGTAAACAATGTGTACGCTCGATAACGTAAACAACTCTCGGCGCACGGAAACAGCGCGACGGTGAAATGCTGAAGCCTCGATGATTTATGTCGGGCGTCGGGGAGTCCCCGATTTACGATGTAGAGTGTAGGGGATTCACCTCTGCGATAAAATACGACAAACTCGGTCAGTCGTATGATCGTTTAGGATACGTTTATACGTACGTATGTATTTCATTTTTGAACTTAAGTGAATACATTGCACGCGTTAATATATTTTACGACTATGGCGTCCACATCCTATAAAAGAAAGTGTTTAAAGTTGAGTGAGAAAGTGAAAATCATAGACGAAGTTGCACTAGGTGCGGGAGTGACACAGTTAGCAAAAAAATATGGAGTATCGAAAGCAACAATCTGTAAAATTAAGCGTATGAAAACTCAAATTTTACAAAAAACGTGCAATACATTTGGAGGTCCGGGAAAAAGAAAAACTTTAAAAAATGCGAAGGCACCTAAAATGGAAAATTTCCTGTATAAGTGGTTTTTAAAACAACGAGAAAATCATGTCCCAGTTAGTGGCGAAGTCCTTAAACAGAGAGCGAGACTGTTAAATGAAAAACTGAAAGAAACTGAAAATTTCGTAGCTAGTGATGGCTGGCTATAACGATTCAAAACAAGATATGGAATTCGACTGTTGTCTATATCTGGTGAAAAATTATTAGCACAACCACAGTTAGTGCTACCATTCAAAGAAAAATTGATGAAAACAATTACCGAGCTAGATTTAAGAATGGAACAAATTTACAACGCAGATGAAAGTGGCCTTTATTGGAAAATGTTACCAGAGAAAACCTATGCTGCATCATTTGAAAAATCTGCCCCGGGAAGAAAGCCGGAGAGACAAAGAATAACGTTTCTAGCCTGCACTAATGCTAATGGTTCACACAAAATAAAGCCACTGGTAATTGGGAAAGCAAAAAATCCGCGCTCATTTAAAAATGTTAATATCCCTGTTGATTATGACTGTTCAAAAACCGCTTGGATGACTAGCAGTATATTCCTGAAATGGTTCCACAGGTGCTTTGTCCCTCAGGTATGACAATCAATTATCACCAATGCTCTATTCATAATTTGAAGATGTGTTTTCAATTTGTAGGTAAAAGATTTCCTAAAACAACAGAAGCGTCCAATAAAAGCGTTGTTACTATTGGATAATGCACCAAGTCATCCTCCCGAGCAACAACTGAGGAGCAGGGATGGGTCAATTTTCGTCATGTACATGCCGCCCAACGTAACACCGTTAATTCAACCGATGGACCAGAATATAATAAGACTCACCAAACTATACTATAGGAAGTTTCTACTTTCGTCTGTCTTATCAAAGAATCCTGAAAACTTATCTGAGGCTTTAAAAAAAGTAACATTACGAGAAGCTGTTTTAGATTTGCATATGGCCTGGAATGAACTTAACCAGCAAACTATTCAAAAATGTTGGAACAATCTCTTTTGTACCAATAATGAAGATGATGAAGAAGACAATGTCCCCTTAAGCGTAATTAGAGAACGTTTGCGATCCAATAATGATAATGTTATTAGTGTGTCATTGGATGTTGTTGATTTATTGAAAACACTGAATCCCAACATTGTTTGTACTCCTGCTGGTATTAATTTATGGAACGAAGATAAGCAGACTAATGATGCTGATAAGGAGGAGGATATGGACAGTGAGGCTGATGAGAACGATCCCATTGAAGTCAGAAGTGTAGTGACAAGCTATACAAGTTTTTAACCAAGCTTTAGATTGGGCTGAAAGAAAAGAAGTTTCATACACGGATATTTTAGTTCTTGGTAAATTACGGGCGCAGGCATTGGAAGACAATGCTAAGCGCAAATTTACGCAGACAAAAATTGTTAATTATTTTTCTTCTAATTAAAAAAATACGTATCGCTGTTAGAATATTTGCTTATTTTGTTATAAATAGTATGTATTAAACGTTTCTTTTAATAAATCAAATATTATATAAATTACGTTCGCTAATGTAAACATTTCGATAATGTGAACCACACTTGGATTAAATTAGTTTACATTATCGAGCGTCTGCTGTAATCAAAAGAACCTGAAATCATTAAATGCGTAAATGCGCTGTTTTCAGTTTATTTTATTATATCCCTTGGGGAACCACAGAATAAAGAAAAGACTACAGTCCATCTCATGTTCGTAATGATAATATTGAGATACTACTAAACAGCTTTCTGGGCTTTCAATGTAAAAGCTACCAGTCCTCGCTTAGAGATGGTAGCACAGTTAAGGATATACTCGGGGTATACCGATGTTTATGACCCTTTCGATGTCGATAGATCGATATCTCGTCATAAAACCATCGATGTTCTACGTCCGATGTATCGATGTTTTTGATACATCGATGTATCGTTACCATCCCTAGTCTTCAGTTGAGCAGTAGCTAGCTCTGTAATGGATGGACTACTGGCATTCCCGCTTAAAGTCAACTATGAGTTTCTGCTACTATTATTATTTTTATTATTTATTGTTATAAATTAGAAAAAATAAAATCGGGAGAATTTATGGTAGAGTCAAGTTTAGGCATGCGCAGTTGAAAGTCAAGCATCGGGTTAAAGGTTGCTGTTGACAAGGAACATTATGGACGTCTTGTTTTCTTGTTTGAATTACATCATTGTTTTGTGACTTAATTTTTTTAAATTTAAATTGGAGACAATAGCGTTTTTTGTGTTTTGTGTTTTTCTGTGTAACAAAGTTTAGAACATAGCATAGAACTAGGAAAATTGTTCCAACAAGTTTGGCACTATACCATATTTCACGAGTATCCATCACGCTTTGACGTCCACTGAGGTGAACAGCTGATCAGCAAGTGATACTTTTGTGTTAATCTGCAACGTTGGCAATCATGAATCGGGTATAAATCTAGTAAAACTTGTTTGTGGCGTTTTGTTTTTTGTATGCAACTTACCTGAGCGGCTTCCCTGTTGTCAGGTTGCGCTTGGCCGAATCCACCAGTGTGGCTCCAATCTCCAGAGTTCCTCTGGGTGGTCGGTCCAATCTTGGCTCCAGATCCAGACCAGAACCAACCGTTAATGTTGGGGGGTTGAAGATCGGGACGTTCGCAACCTGAAACACGCTGGTTTTTAAAATGCCTGTATTTTGAAAATACAGTGCGACTTAACATTAGTTAAAAAAAACAAGAAAATCGCGTCTTTCTTTAGAGTGTGACTCTACCCCTACCATGAAGGTTAAGCTTCCAACAGTGGCGCTCCCAGGATTTCAGTCTGGGAGGGGTAAAATGGAAAGTATATTCTCAGTGTGACGTACTGAAGTGTTATAATGATTTAACATTAAATTAAATTAAATTTGTTACAGTAATTTCTGTAGAAAATACATACACTTTTTTTTTAAATTTTGAATCATACGAAATCAAAGTGTAAATAAACCAAACCAAACTCGAGAAATCCTCATACATTAAAACAAACATGCAAAATAATATAATCTAGAGTCGTCTGAGGGAGGGGGGGGGGTAATTACCCCCTTTACCACTCACGTGGGGCACGTGGCTTCCAACGTTGACAGCTTGACATATGGAATCTAAGGTCTCGTTTTATGGGTATCCGAAAAACAAATCAAGTCTTTGACCTCTGCATATGAAACAACATTGATAATATTAAAGCCGCTACATTTACAACCCCCTACCCCCTACAACCCCCACCCTCCAAGTTTCAACCCCTACAAAAATGCTTCCCAAAAAAGGATCAGGAGTCTCTGAAATGCCAAAAAATGAAGTTTGAGCGATGTTTATTTCCTTCGTGTATTTGCCCTTAGCTCTGCCACCACTAGAAGGATTTTCAAAAACTAAAAACCTTTTTCATCCTTGGTATAGTAGTTTATAGGCGGCTATAAAATTAGCGGACAGACCGATGAAAATGAGTGGCTTGGTTTTTGTGATTACAATACTTCCTCGCCAGTTTTGGCACAGGAGGTAACAAGAAAATCGAGTCCTGAATGTAACACCGTCATATACTATTGTTGGCGATTCCTAAATGCCATATACACTATACATTTTCATAAATACGAGAAGAGATTAAGATATTGCATTGTAATTCAGAACATAAAGTAGTTGTTGCTTCACATCCTAAGACTAATTACTAAACTTAAGCATTTAATTAAGCAAGTAAAATATTACTTAGGTATTATTTCAGGAATTAAATATGCAGCTTTGCCTATTTAGATGATATACAGGGTGTCCGCAAAGTTGGGGTTTTCCTTTACACGACGTGTAGATCTTTTAAACATAAGCAATTTTTCTTAGTACCATATACACCAATGTCTTAAGGGAACCGAGATAAAGGGCTCTGCAACATCAAAAATATCTGAATACCATCCTGTAGCCGCGACTCGGGACATCCCCGAGTGGTACTAGGACACTAGCTCAACCCGACGACAGAACTGGGTCGGGGTCAGTGTGTCAGGTCAGTATGCAACCTTCAACCGACGGTTACGGTCAAGCGTGTAGAGGTAAACGAACCCGTATAATCGATTGCGTTTCAAAAAACAACAAGCACTAGAGACGTGGCTAGAGAAGTGCAAGTATCAAAAACTAAAGTGTGACAAACGCTGCGTGAAGAGGGGCTGTATCCGTTTAACGTCCAACGTGTACAAGCCCTTCAACCTGACGATTTTCCAGCAAGAGTGCGGTTTTGTGAGTGGTTGTTGCATCAACATGACAATAATCCGGAGTTTTTGAAGTGCATATTGGTGACAGACGAATCTACGTTCACGCGTAATGGGGTGAATAACTTTCGCAACACTCATGTTTGGTCAGTAGAAAATCCGCACGCTGTCCGTCGGGCACATTTTCAACAAACATTTTCGGTGAATGTTTGGGCTGGCATGGTGAACGGTATGCTCATTGGACCATTTATTCTCCCAAATCGATTTGACGGGATGCAATACCTAGACTTTTTACGCAACATTTTGCCTTCCTTGTTAGAAGATGTGCCATTAAGTGTAAGACAATCAATGTGGTTTCTGCACGATGGTGCACCGCCCCATTTTAGACGCGAAGTGCGTGAGTTTTTGAATGAATTATTTCCAAATAGGTGGATCTGACGTAATGGACCCGTAGCGTGGCCTCCGCGATCTTCAGACTTAACACCATGTGATTTTTTTCTTTGGGGAGAAATGAAACGCTTAGTGTACAAAACTGAAGTGCATACGGTTGACGAACTTCGTCTCAGAATTGAACAAGCTGGTGCTTTCATTCGGGGGAGGGACTCCATTCTCAAAGCCTGCACCGATGCTTGGCTACGTCGTGCACGTACCTGTGTTTTTGAATCAAACGGCCATAACCTCAAACAATACCGATAAAGTACGTTTACCTAAAAACTGAAAACGCGGCGACGCCGTCTTATTTGTTACCTCTGTTCGTGGTCTGCACCACCGCCGGCGTCTGCTCGGTAGCGCATCAGCTGATTTCATTTTCTGTTGGAGCGGTATGATTTCAGGCAGAGACGTACTTAGCCCTTCTCGTCAACTGGAGAGTGAGTACTTTTTCCTTTATTTTTTTTTTTACTTGGTCGCCCTCGTTTCACTACACATTACCTTTGTTATTTCAAGTGTAGTTGTTTCTGAAAAGGAAAACCCGAACTTTGCGGACACCTTGTATTGCCACCCATGATCACCCTGTAGAGCCTTAAACGCGCCACATAGGCGCCATATAGGTCGATAGATACCCTAAACCATATCCGCTGAGAAATATGCACATCGTCGACAAGTAATGCATAATCTTGCGATGTGGGGGTTCTATCGGTTTAAAAAAACTAGGTACGCTGACATGTTTGCGGCATTCCTGCCCTGGGGTTCGATCGGGTTTGACCGGGAACCACACAACTCTACTCCATAGTTAAATGTTTGATCTCTGGATAAGATACGAACAAAAGCCTTTGCGATCTAGCTCTCAACTCTCAAAGCTCTTCTCTATGACATTCAGCACTGGCCAATACGACCGCTTCTTTGTCCGTAGGATATCGAGATTGTGGAACAATCTATATGAGGAGGCTTTTCCCAGTTTTCAACGTGCACAATTCTTTGAAAAATGTCGTCAAATTTAATCCATGATGTGTTCAAATAAAAATCTTTCTCACCTGCAAAGTTACATTTCCTTCCGGAAGTCCAAATGTACCTGACGTTGCCTCTAGCCAGCCTCTGCTTGATGAACTCGTTCTCCTGGGGCGTCTCCAAGGAGACGGCGTCCATACAGTGTCGCCTGCAGATGTTTCTGGCATCTAACCAGTCCACTTCGAGACCCCTCGTCGGAGGATGTTCCCAACTGAAGAAGTACGAGTGGGTTACTCCACGAGCGTCTCTGTATGACGCATGTCGGACTCCTGATAAACAGAAAAGGAGCTTATTATGGTATTATCAGCGCTATAGTCGCAGGTAAGACTTTACGGAACGCTCAGCGAAATCCGGCTGAGTAGTTCACGGCAGATTTATAGCGTTTGTTAATTTTTTTACGTATAGACATTATACAGGGTGGTCCATAAGTCCTTTGAAATTTCAAATTTGAATAAAATTTAACGGGTGAGCGTGAGCGGCGCGGGCGAGCTGGGGGCAGTATCTTCAGTGACTGGGAATTCAGTCGCCATGGAGTGTTTCACTGGAGCGGATCATGCTTTTTGTGTGCGCGCGTTTTATCAAAATAATGATTCGGCAACCATTGCGCGGCGTAAATATCGAGAATACCACAATTTACTCAATTTTACAAAGTGTCCAACAGCTCAAACGATTAAGAACTGGGTTGCTAAGTTCGAAGAGACTGGTTCGACGTTAGATAAACAGCGGTGGGGTCGTCCAAGGACAACTCGTATTGAAGAAAACATCAACATTGTGGCACAGTCTGTTCGTCAAAATCCTACCCAGTCTACTCGTAAGCGTTCCAGTGCACTAAACGTACCCAGAACATCTTTACAGCGGATTTTAAGGAAAGATTTACGTCTGCACGCTTACAAAATTCAGTTAGTGCAGGAATTAAAAGATAATGACGCTATTCAGAGACTAAACTTTGCGAATGAAATGTTGAATCGATTTTCTTCGCTCAATAATGTGTTGTTCTCGGACGAGGCTCACTTCCATTTAAACGGGCATGTAAATAAACAAAATTGCCGTTATTGGAGCCCCGAAAATCCAAGGCGTAAGCATCAGAAGTCCTTACACAGCCCTAAAGTTACAGTTTGGGCTGCTATGTCAGCGCATGGCATCGTAGGCCCTTATTTTTTTGAGGACGACAGAGGTCGCGCATTAACTGTTACTTCGGAGCGGTATGTAGCAAGGATAGAAGAGTTTTTGACACCAGCGTTGCAGAATTTTCCAGGCTATAATACGCAGACCTGGTTTCAACAGGACGGAGCAACTGCCCACACCTCCAACACATCTATGCCCGTCGTCTGTCAACTTTTTCCCAGCAAAGTAATTTCTCGAAGAGGAGACATTTCCTGGCCACCACGTAGACCAGATTTGACCCCAATGGACTTCTTTTTATGGGGCTACCTCAAGAATAAAGTGTACGACACCACTCCGCGATCAGTTGATGTCCTGAAAGAAAATATCCGAAGAGAAATGGCAAGCATTACAGTGTTGACTTGCCGCGCAGTCATCGACAATTTTAGACGTCGTTTATATGAGTGCCGTGATCGTAATGGATTGCATTTAGACGATGTGATTTTTAAAACATAATTCCCATTCAATAAAGATGATAACAAAATATAATAATTCTTCATAATGTAACTAGTTTGGTTTTATTCCTTTTTTTCCAGCTCAAAGGACTTATGGGCCACCCTGTATTATACAGGTCTAAATAATTTATGCAATGTGAATTAATGTAAAAATAATTTATGAAATTAGTAACAAGAAGGATAAATACCCTGCGTTAATTTCATAATCTGAACGTTTTACATTTACATTTTAGATGAGACTGAATTTATGGCCTAGCACTTAAGGCTTGTTTATTCCATACCAAACATCCGACCTACCATATCCGAATTAATCAAACAACCTATTAGGTACTGCCTGAATGTTGACACTTGAAAGCCCCTATAGAATGCTGTTCTTTTTATCTATAATTGATTGCCCGGACATCACCTTTCAGGATCAATCATGCTTTTTAGACCGAAAATATAAAAGTATGTGCAACTTGGATCGCTGATTTTTGTACAAAGAGTGCCTTGCTTATACGTTGAGCCAAGTTTCTAAACTAAACAAAAACTTTACAGCCAGAATCGCTAGCCACCCAGCGGTCACGTGGTGACTGGACTGTAAATCGCCAGCTGAGGTCCCTAACATTTCTAACTAATAGCAGCTGTGCGCTTTCCGCAGCGGTCGATTCTGGAGCGATAGATGGCGCTTTGCGCGGTTTTATTTCTATTATTCTCTGTTATTTTTTTTACCGGAAGCACTATATCTTTCAAGTTTTAAGATATTCATAAATACGATTTGAACGAAAAAATGGGCGAGTGAAGTAAACTTACTATTCGCACAGCTTCTGGGATCTGGTAATGCTAACCTACGCTGTGCTGCAACCATTACAGCTCCTAAAAGCAGGAACGCTATGTGCCGTATCATTTTTCTGAAACAAAACATATTCATAATTAATTATACATATTGCTGCTCAACAGAAAATCGGTTTATTTTTGCAACTTTCTGATGTCTGTCTAGATTTCTGCTGTTCCGTGTCAGCTCTCTATTTTGTGGTTATGTTACAAATATCTTCTTGCATCAAATCGCTTATGCTTTTGATTTACATCAGTAATCAGCCTGAAATTTCCTACAGTTCAAAAAGAAAACATAACCTCACAATATGGGAGCGCTGACGCTGACACGGGACAGTTGAAATCTAGAAATACTCCAGCCTTTCTGAATGAGAGAAGATACTATGAAAATCAAGGAGGCCATAAAGGCGTCTTACAATAATTGAAGGAACGACTGACGATACGCCAAAGTATTGTAGCACTGTAAGTAAGGTGGATCTGGTTGATCAGATTCCAGACACGGTCAGGGAGAAAAGGGTAGAACAACGGAAGCAAGAATGCAAAGAGGAGGAAGCGCGTCGGTTGGAGGGATGTACCTTTGTGTTGTTAACTAGGATTCGGCGATCTTAAGCTGATCTAAGAAAAACGCGTCAAGTAGGTTGACTCTGCAGTACCCACGTAACGCTGCCATCAGTTCAAGGATTCAGCGCAAGTTAGCCTTTCATTGAAGTCAATTAATAACATGTATAACAAAGGAATTGATTGGATCAAGTCAGGCAAATAGGCCAATAAAATTAGTCCCCGGTTCCCACTCATCCAACAAAGTTGCGATAAGAGTTGCGATGAATAAATCGCCAATGAAAGCATCTAGCTGCGGGCAGGTTTATTAATTTGCTCGAATGGGTAGGAGTGTTTGAAACATCAAAAAATCGGAGATTTTGTCATCCCAATATGAACTGTTCTGCATTGCGTGATATTTGCCATTTCTTAGACCACACCTCGATAGCGAGAATGTCCTTTTTAACACGCTTTTACAAGCTTGGCCTGAATATGTATGTATGTAATCTTAGAGCATAATTTTCACGAATCTACAGAAGTTTTACCAATTTAAAAGTTCGCACACGTATCAAGGACCGATTACAATGCAATAATTTGATAAAAGTTTTCCATTATCCTTATTAGGACCACCAGGATTGATCAATTCTTTTATAGATCCTCCATAGGGGAGTAAGAGAGATAGAGCTAGCGCGCGATCTGCGCATGCGTGCGGTTTCGGACTTACTCTTTGTTGGATCGGGCAGTCGGCACAGCAGAACGAAGGCAGATACTTTTTCAAGGTAGTGCATTCTCACCTTGTTCATTGCGAAGGTTGCCATTAATCCTCAGTTGGCCTTCGACCGTCCACAAGATGAATGTCACTATTTAATGAGTCGATTTTTGAGTCAATTTTAAGAAGAAAACTTTATATTGGCTGTGTCTTTTTCATTATGATTATGTGAAACAACGTAATCGTTTCCTATTTCGTTCGAAACTGCAATCACGTGCAATCATCTGCTTGAAATTAATTCATCATTCCTTCCCACACAAATAATGAGGATCAGTCACAAGTGATACTTTCACTTTGTAAGATGCCGAGCAACCTGCACCGTGGGAAAGTTGCGTTGCATCTTCCGAAGTAATAAATCTCGATGCATTTTTATTTCGGAGAGTTTAAAGCCTTGTTAAATTATTTTATACTATCGGATCGAAAGTAAGAAAGGACGTTAAACGGAGGTGAGTAATACTAAAGAGGTCAAACTATAAGAGGAGAAGGTTATTGTGATACGGAGAGCCCTACAATAATCTGGACTCCAACCAGTCGAAATGAACGGCTCTTTGGCAGATCCTGGCCATTCATCGAAGCCGAATGAGGCGCTAGGGCGTTGCTTGTTAGTCAAGGTACAGAACTTCTAAGGTTCCCTTTGAGAAAATCTCAAGAGCCACTTGGTATGTGTAGAATCTACAGAAAAACTCGTTTCACTTTGATGCTATGATCCATACAGGTGACTAATTTTCTAGTGCAAATTCTACCCGAAAAGATCTCAGGATTTACCGATGGTCATAATAATAATAACTTTATTTCCGGATGACTATAAAATTAGTAGTATTGGTATTGTCTACCTTAGGTATATCATGTATATATAAAAACAAAGATAACGAGTAGAATAATTGATAACATCGCAATATGAATCAAACTTTAATCAATACTATGTAGAACATCATTCAACACATCACTGAAATATTCCCCAATTCTATAGAAACCGTTATTGAACATAATTGTCCTTATTTTTGCCTGAAAAAGAGAGCGATTTTGTTGTACAACCTTATAACTATAACATTGAGCCCTTTTGAAGTTAAATACAATCTGTGTGGGGGTATAAGTAACATTGAATAGATATCATATTTATGCAGAATGAACTCAAATTTTCTTTAACATAAACAAGGCATCTACAGATATAAAGATAGTGAACTGTAAATTACCAAAGTGTATAAATTTTGCACTGCGTAGCCATTCTAATGGGTGATTTTTTTGCTAGTATCTTTTTGGCAACACTGTTTTTGACAGATGACGCGTGAATCGTGTCTTGTGTCATTGTCAAACTTGTTCAGTTTGGTCTATAATTTAACCATGAATCGACTTACGAACGAACAACGCTTGCAAATTATTGAATTTTACTATCAAAATTCATGCTCGGTTAAGAGAGTGCATCGAGCACTGCTTCCAATTTATGGGCAATTTGGTCGGCCTACTGAGGGAGCTATTCGGAAGCTTGTGACTAAATTTCGAACCCAGTTTACATTATTGGACATTAAACCACCAACACGCAGACGTAGAGTGAGGACTGAAGACAATATTGCGGCTGTATCCGCCAGTGTTAGTGATGACCGTGAAATGTCGATTCGCCGCCGTTCGCAGCAATTGGGCCTCTGTTACTCCACTACGTGGAAAATTTTGCGACAGGATTTGGGTGTAAAACCTTATAAGATACAGCTGGTGCAAGAATTGAAGCCACACGACCTCGCACAACGTTTCCAATTTGGTGAATGGGCGCTGGCAAAGTTGGAGGAAGATCCACATTTTTGTCGAAAAATTGTGTTCAGCGACGAAGCTCTTGTCTGATTGAATGGGTACGTTAACAAGCAAAATTGCCGCATCTGGAGTGAAGACCAGCCAGAAGCATTGCAAGAGCTACCAATGCATCCCGAAAAAATCACTGTTTGGTGTGGATTATGGGCCGGTGGCATCATCGGGCCGTACTTCTTCAAAGACGACAATGGCCGGAACGTAAATGTGAATGGCGAGCGCTACCGTGCGATGATAACAAACTTTTTTTGCCCAAAATGGAAGAGCTGGACTTGGCTGACATGTGGTTTCAACAAGACGGTGCCACATTCCACACCGCACACGAAACAATGGCCCTATTGAGAGGCGAGTTCGGTGAATAGTTTATCTCACGTTTGGGGCCCGTCAATTGGCCGCCTAGATCGTGTGATTTAACGCCGTTGGACTATTTCTTGTGGGGCCATGTTAAGGCTAATGTCTACAGGGATAGACCAGCAACGATTGACGCACTGGAAGCCCATATTGAAGCATTTATTCGTGAGATAGCGGCCGATATGTTGGAGAGAGTGTGCCAAAATTGTACCTTGCGCATGGGCCATCTAAAGCGGAGCCGCGGCCAACATTTACATGAAATACTCTTTAAACATTAAATTATATCGACCGTTCTATCGACTCAAATAAGGATTTAATCGTTTTTTCAAACTTTTTGTGTTTTTTTTTTGATAATCAAATCCTATACCTCTTAAAAAATCACCAGTTATAAGAAAGTTCAATAGCTTCAATATCTATGTTTATTATGAAATTTCGCGTTTGACGTAGGACGCCATACGTGCTTTTGGCGACCGTAACATTGTTATTCCACGTAAAGTGTAGGTCTGGTATGCCAGGTATGGTATCAGTGGCCCGATTGCCGTCGATTGTGGGCCATGCCGTGACCTGAGGCAGTACCGATGGATGACAACGGCGTCGACGAGGACGACGCCCATCGGTAAAGACAGAGACCGACGAAGTCAACTTTCACGGTCAATCGCAGCCGTACCGGCACCTGGGTACCACCTGTGGTTGTCTGGTACTGCTTCTTACCGGAGCGGAAGTATGTTATGGTACGCAAAGGCCCAGCATCCGCGTCCGGGGTCGCTGCGCCAGACAAAGGTTGTGGTACGACTTGCAGTACAAAGTTGTGCAATGTGAATAAGATCGTCTTAATTTTGGCAAGCTATATAATGAATACGCGAAATTAACTATTATTGAACATAATTCAAGTGGGTAGTACCTAATGTTGGTGGTGGTACCATCGGTGTACGTTAGTACAGCTAAAATGTATATCGTACGATCTGCGGACGCTTGATTGATCTGACGAAGATACTTAGCAATGCTACGACTCTAAGGTACTGCAAAGTTGCACCACATGGATCAGATCGTGAGCTTAAATTTGACAAGCTGTGTATTAAGTACGTGGAACTAGTTATTTGTGAAAATCAACTGGGTACTGCCCGATATGCCGAAGGTACTGCCGTCAATGTTTGGTACTGTTTTGTAGCAAAGCGGCAGTATGTTGTGACACGAAGATTTCCAGTATCTTGTACAGACGAAGGTTACGTTACGGCTTAGGGTACTACTCAATGGTACTACACAGTTGTGCCATGTGAATCAGACTATGGGCTTAAATTTGATAAGCTATATATAGAGAATACGTGAAACTAATATTGAACATAATTCAAGTCGATACTACCTAATATGCTGGAAGTACCATCGGTGCACGGTAGTACTGCGAAAAATGTACATAGCAGGATCTGCGAACACTTGTCAGCGGATCAGAGGTAATTTATGGGAGGAACATGACCAGCAATGTTTTGGTACGACTTAGCGTACTACTCTATGGTACTGCTGGGCTTTTTGACGAATCATACAGTGGATACGTACTGAAAATCAAGAGGGTACTGCCTAATAAGCTGAACGTACTACATTTGGTACTGCTTCATAGCAAAGAGACAG